GCCCTGCTACTCGACGTCCTGAATCAAGGTCGACGTCGGCCCCTCCTTCGTCGACCACCCTGTTAGGTCGACCACCAGGTCGACATCACGCCTGGTCGACCAACCATCAAGTCGACCAGCAGGCCTGGTCGACCAACTACCAGGTCGACCAGCAGTCCTGTCAGCCGACCACCCAAGTCGGCTGCCCCAAGTTGGCGTCACCAAGCCGACGCCCTCCGCAGGTCGACTTCCCAGGTCGGCCTCCCTGAAGTTGGCGCCACCCTGAAGTCGGCGCCCTTGCAGCGTCCCCCGTGCAGGTCGACCTCCTCGTCAACCAGCTCGCCCACTGCTGCAGGTCGGCTGCTCCCCTCACACCCGACCACGAATTCGGCTCCGCCCAAGCGAGGACGGGGCCAACACACAACTCCCGTTGACATTCCTTGGTTTCCCCTGACTTCACCTTTTACCACCTCCCCTTCACCGGTTCTTTGACTCCCGTGATATCCGCTTTGACGAGTCGGTCCCCTACTACACCCGGTACCCCTGTCGCGGTCTCCGGGTTCCTCCCCCCCCTCTCTTCCTAGCTCCCACCCCCCCTAAGGCTCCTCAGGTACAGCCTCCCCCCCCTGGTTCAGCCCCGTCAGGTGTGTCCCACGCTACCCCCCCCCCCCCCCTCGGTAGCCCCTCAGGCCTCCCCCCCTTCCCCGCAGTCCTCCTCCCAGTCACCGCAGCAGCCGTCAGCACTTCCTCCCCAGGCTACTGCGGACTCTGAGGGCACTGGTGTTGGTCGCGCGGACCCTGGAGGTGCTGCCCCTGGGAGTGCTAGAGTTGGTGTTGAGAGCGTGCCTGCACGGGGGCCTGGTGCTGAGGGTGTTGGAGTTGGATTTGAGCCCGTCCCTGTCGAAGTTTCTAGTCTTCCGAGAGCTGGTGCTGGTCGAGCGGTCTTTGGGGGTGCTCCGACTGGGGGTGCGGGTGCGCCCCCCGCTGGACCAGGAGGGTCTGGTACTGGACGCGTTGCTGTTGGTGGTGCTGGCTCTGGGGGTGGTGCGATTGGTGCTTTCGAGAGTGGTCCTGGGGCTACCACCGCCCCGGACACTACTTCTCCCCCCCACCCCTACTCGACCCAGCACCAGGCCCGTGTTCGCCGTGCCCGTGAGGATCAGCTGGAGTTGGAGCGAGAGGAGAGAGAGTTGGAGCGGCAGCAGCTGGAGCTACCACGACTGGAGGAGCAGCAGCATCAGGAGCAGCAGCAGTCGCAGCTGGAGGAGCAGCAGTAGCAAGAGCAGCAGGAACAGCAGCGGCAGCCGCTGCAGCAGGAGCAGCAGCAGCAGCCGCCACCTCCTCCCCATGTCTCTGGTCTTCGGACCCTCGGTCTCCCCTCTCCCTCTCCTCCCTCCTCCCCCTCTCCTCCCGTCTCCGGTCCCCCGCTTCCTCCTCCTGACCCCTCCCCAAATATTTTTCCTCGTTCTCAGCCTCCGTTGCACCCTCCTCTTTCTCACACTTGGGCCTCTCGTCGCTCTTCTTGTGCTCGCCCCTCGTCCCTTGTCCCTCTTACTAACCTTCGTACTGTCCTGTTCCGTCCTAGTCCACCTCATTCGTCTCCGTCTGTGCTTCCTTCTCCTCCTGCGTCGTCCTTCACTACTTCCCTCTCCATTCGTGTCACTGACTACTACCGCACGTACCGATTTGTTCTCTCTCGTATTCTCGCCTCTCTTGTTACGGACCCTCGTGCCTCTCTGTCCTCTGTCTCCGCCCTTACTGCCGCTGTCACTGAGTTCGCCACTACTCGCCACCTTGACTACGCCACTTGTCTCGTGGCTGCTCCTCCTACCAGTCCTCTGGCAGTCGGGGGTGAGTCTGTCGTTGGCTGTGCCGCCCTAGAGGATATACAGTTTGAGCTGGAGTTCTTGGCAACCGCTTCCCCTCATCTCTGTGCCATGCTGCTCGCCCCTGAGGGAGACCCCGACGCCCTTGACATACCTACTCCTCGCACTTACACTGAGGCAGTGTCAAGGCCTTGGGCCTCTCAGTGGAGAGCTGCCATGGACTCAGAGATGGCCTCCTACAGATCCACAGGCACCTACGTCGACGAGGTCCCCCCCCCCCCCACCCGGGGCGAACGTAGTCAATGGCATGTGGATCTTCACGGTGAAGCGGCCACCAGGATCTCCTCCGGTCTTCAAGGCGCGCTATGTCGCTAGAGGTTTCAGTCAACACAAGGGAGTTGACTTCTTTTAGACCTTCGCGCCTACCCCAAAGATGACCACTCTTCAGGTGCACGTAGCGGCATAGAGAGACTATGAGCTACACTCTCTCGACTTCTCCACTGCCTTCCTTCAGGGTAGCCTACATGAGGAGGTCTGGTTGCGCCGTCCCTCTGCCTTCACTGACGCTTTCCCTCCTGGGACCTAGTGGAGGCTGAGGCGACTGGTCTACGGTCTCGTCCGGCTCCTCGTGAGTGGCACGACACCCTTAGTTCTACCCTGTCTGACCTTGGTTTCCAACCGTCTTCTGCCGACCCGTCGCTGTTCGTCCGTCGTGGCTCCACACCGTTCTTTGTACTAGTCTACGTCAACGACCTGGTTTTTGCTTTGGCTGACGTGAAGTCCGAACTGCAAAAGAGACACACGTGCACTGACCTTGGTGAGCTGCGCCACTACCTTGGCCTGTAGATCACCAGGGACAGAGCCGCTCGTGCCATTACACTCTCATGGTCACACATGGTGTAGCAGGTCCTTCAGCGGTTTGAGCTTCAGCACTCCATAGTACAATGCACACCTCTTGCTGTTGACCACAGACTCACTGGTCCCTTTCCTGACGAGCCGTTCGAGCCTAGTGGTCCCTACGCAAAGCTTGTGGGCTGCCTCATGTACCTGATGACTTGTACTCGCCCGGACCTCGCCTACCCTCTCAGCATCCTTGCTCGCTTTGTTGCGCCAGGGAGACACCGTCCTGTTTACTGGACAGCTGCAGTGAGGGTGGCGAAGTACCTAGCGACCACATCAGGCATAGGGTTGGTACTTGGAGGGAGATAATCGGTCATTCTTACTGATAACTGTGACTCTTCTTACGCTGACGATGCTGAGACTCACAGGTCTACTCAGGGGTACTGTTTCAGCCTGGGCTCTGGAGCTGTTTTGTGGAGGTCCATGCGTTCCTCTTCGATCTCGACCTCTACCGCTGAGGCTGAGATCTACGCTGGAGCCATGGCGGCACAAGAGCTGCGCTGGTTGACCTTCTTGCTTATAGACCTTGGTGAGCGGCCGAACTCTGCACCGACCTTGTTCACTGACAACAAGGCGGCGATTCTTCTCTGTCGGGAACCTCGACTGGAGAGCAGAGTGAAGCACATCAACGTCAGGTACCGTATTCTCCTGGACAAAACACCCCCCCGTAATTGTACACCCCCGGGTAGCTTGTGCGGGGTGGGTGTTATGATAGATCTCGTTTCTACTATACCCCCCTTTTTGGCTGATTTTCTATAACACCCCCCTTTTCTTACGAATTCGTTACTATAGTCGTTAACGAGTAGCTGCAATACGGAAGAATATCGCGAAAAATTCTCCCTAGATGAAATTTCGTGGTACATTCACTTCCAATCTACCGAGATTTCCCCCCTCCCACTGCTTCGTTGTCGCCACGTGCAGGCGAATCTTCCGCTGCAAGTGGCAAGAGAGGTGCCACATGGCATTTTTGTGGGGGTGATGAAGTTCGTGGCCGAAACTCACATTCGCGCCTCAGACAGTGATGTTAAAATGAAAATCAAAACACCCACATTGTCTAATTAAATAAACACTAACACTAGAATATACCATATGTAAAGACTCGGGTATTATGTATTTTTTTCCTATGAGGAGACCCCCCCCATTTTTTCCATGTATTTTTAGCTATACCCTAGGGTGTTATGTCCGGGAGAATACGGTGCTTCTGCGAGAGTTGGAAAGGCGTGGACAGGCTCGCTTGGACTTTGTGGAGTGCAAGGCCAACACTGCAGACATCTTCACCAAGGCGATTCAGCCTTGTGACCACCACATGTGTTGTGTGCAGTTAGGTCTCCTTGATATTGGTTCTCGTCTTGTGTAGGCGTTGCTTGTTTTGTTGTACCCGTTGTTTATACACATGTGAACTCCTGAACTGGCCTTGTGGCCATTCTGCTTGTGCTCGGAATGTGTGGTGACATTGTGATCCACCCTGAGCTTTGCTTCTTTGTGACTGGTCTTGTGACCGTACTCTTATTGTGTTTGCTTGACACCCCTCACTTAGACTATGGGGGTGTGTCAAATGTTGTAGCCTGTAATGAGGCTTGTCTTATGGAGTAGTAATATTAGGGTTAGGCATATGTACCTCAACCCCAGGGCTCTTGCTAGGATCTGAGGGCGTCTGATTCTGTCAGACGGGTCCCCCAGGCAAAACAATTGTTTTGTCTGATCTAGATTGGAAAATCAGATGGATATAAAAAAATGAGTCTGAAAATCAGACCATCAGACCAAAATGGTCTGATAACGAGAGCCCTGCTCAACCCACATCAATGCAACCACAACTCAGTTTCTGACAATCTTTGGAGTTGGTGAGAAGGTATGACAGATGTCAATCCCCTCTTGTTGACTGAAACCTCTAACCACGTAACTCACTCTGAAGACATGCGTCCAGGTGACCGCTTCATCTTGATGATCCACATGCCATCAACTCTGAATTCATACCAAGAGGGAGAATTGCATCAACGTAGGTGCGACTGGACCTCCAAGATGCCATCTGGGTGTCTGTGTTGATAACACTCAATAGCTAGGAGCAAGGCATTGAAATCCCGCGGAATATGAAATATTGTAACAATACGTGCATGGTTCTAGACCCGAGGTCTTATATGATCTAACCGGTGATATAAAACATTAAGAGAAATATTTTTTGGGTGCAGAAAGACACCATGAGGAGGATACGCACGCCCGATCATCTACCCATTCAAAAAAGCTAAGAATCAACAAGAGATGATTAGCATGGCAGATGAAGAGCCAGGCTGCAAGAGGTCAGTTGTCGCACACTCCTTTTTGAAGCTTGACTTTGTCCGGCAGGCACACGCGGGTTGATTTGATGAGCTTGTCGATGCAGTCGTATCCGTTGACTTTCCTGTAGCAGCCCTTGATGCCCCGGAAGTACTTCACCTGAATGGCCGTGCACCTGTCGCCTGTCCCCACCACATACGCATTCGCACGCGGACACGTGCCCTGCTTGAACGACGTGGAGCTCGCAATGCATGCCTGGGGGGTGGGGGAAGAGGGTGTGGGTGGGGTTGGTGAAATGAAGAAGAAAAGAGAAGTGGAGCTCGCAATGCATGCCTGGGGGGGGGAGGGGGAAGGGGAGGGGAGGGGTGGAGTGAAGAAGAAAATAAGAACAGAGTATAAGAGAGCAGTCACAAGAGAACCAGAAAGGCAGTACGCATGAGGGAGGTGACAAGCCATTACACTGAAAGAGGGAAAGGAAGGTTGATTTAGGAGGGAAAGAGGCCCATGAGCAAAGTCGGCGCCACACACGCACCTCAAAGCCAGTGAAGCCGTCAACATTGGTCTTTGGAATGAGGCGGTTGCACTTGATGCCGGGGTTGAGGCGGAAGAAGTCAACCGGGTCCAGAGGGGGGTAGGGCACGTTGCGGATGGACTCGCACGTCTCTGCGCTCTGCACCAGGTAGTACTGCGAGCACACCGGGATGAGCCCCACTTTCTTCTTTATGCGCTCCACACACACCGCCTGCTCCGGCTGCAGCAGCCCGCCGTTGGCGCTGCAGTCCAAGCTGGGGTTGAGCGCCTGGAAGTCTGAGTTACACGTAGCGGATGGGCAGGACCAATGCACTTGGAAATATACCGCTAGGTCCGCACAGGTGTTACCCTGAGAATGAGTGGCCAGGGTGGAGGATGTGGGAGGCAGGGGAAGCAGGAGTGAGAGAGTGTGAGGTGAAAGCACTGTTCAATCTGAGGTTAGGAAATGGCAGTTGGGGGAAGACGGAGGGAGGAACAGAGAGTAGCACAGAAGGATACGGGTGGAGAGGCAGATATGGGAAGACGAGAAATTGGCGTATTGGCAGGGAGGGTGCGAGGTGGGGACCTGCTGAGTGGTGTAGTAGACGGAGCAGGGGATGAGAGACGCTGGGCTGGCCACTTTGAGCACAGTGGAGGGTGGGATGGGTGCTGCACACGACACCGATGGCTGCACACATCGAGGGAGAGGCATGAGAGACACGGCACGCACCCAGGCAGGCATGAAGAGGCAGGAAATGGCATGTGATGTACGTTTTGCTTGTATCATTTTTTGAAGAGTTGAGGAGACGCACGTTCTGGGTTTGGAATTCGGCGAGCGTGAGGCCGTAGACCGGGAAGACATCGGAGCAGAGGACGTTGGGAGAGAGCACGGTGTAGGTGGTGTTGGTGTCACCTGCATGCAGCCCAGCACGCAGCACAGCATGCAACATAGAATAACAGAAGTTTCGGCAGAATGGAGCAAGCGGTAGGCACACAGCGCACAGCATGCTCGCATACAACGATGGATGCTGGGACCTAAGCTGTGTCCTTATGCCTACGAATAAGCCGTTTTCCACACATAGTTTAGAGTTACGTATTCGTCGTTCTGCGATGTATCTGCAGGAAGGTACCTGGAGCACAGGAGTAAGTGCCCTCGACGTTGGTGCCCTGCCTAAAGCCTGGTGGACACACACACGAGTACGACCCCACCCCGTCATTCACACACTGCCCCACCGCACACGGATTGCGCTGGGCTGCCTTGCATGCATCCTCTGGTGAGGGGCGGGGAGGAGAGAGGGGAGTGGAAGGGAGGGAGGTGAGGGGAGGGAGGAGATTGGTAGGGAAGGGGGGAGAGAAGGGTTGAGGAGGGGAGGGAGGGGATGGGAGGGATGATTAAGGTGGCATGGGAGGGTAGGGGAGGAGAAAGGGAGCAAAGGGGAGGGATGAGATAACACTGCGGTTTTGAGAACATTGAGAGGAGGCAAGCAAATATGCTGCTGATGACGTCACCAAACAGTCTCAAGCAGCGGCGGCGACGGCGGTGGCAGTGACAGCGGCTGTTAGAAGACCTGCATTGGGGATGCTCGATTGATCCTAGGAAAGGGTTACAAGCGCGCTAGCCAAGAGGATTATGCGCGTACCGACCGGCTACAAGTATTTTTATCCCAGTGGTCTAGTGGCTGTGATTCTCGCGTGGTATCAGAGAGAAAGCCTCGAATTTGAATCTCTATGTGCGCACATGCTGAGGCTGCCGCTGTGTCGTGTCTTAGGGCATCCTTGTGAGTGAGGGAGTCAGAAGACCTGCACGGTCCGATCGATCCTAAGAAAGGGTTACAGACTCGCTTGCCTGGGAGGTTATGGGTGCACTGACTTGCTACTTAACAAACCCTTTTATCCCAGTAATCTAGTGACTGGATTCTGACAGCGGCGGCGGCGGCAGCGGTGACAACGCAGCGCGGCGGCAGCAGCAGCAGCAGCAGCAGAGGCTTACTGTAGGCACATGTGCGAGAGCCATCGGCGTTGCTTGCTTGGATGAAGCGCGGGTCATTGCAGTTACACTCGTTTGTCTTGCCCTTCACAGTGCATTTGAACTTCCCGCAGGGATTGAAGAACGAACCAAAGCTATCATTACGAGCAGCCTTGTTGCAGGGGTCACTAGGAGCTGCACGGAGAGAGAGGACAAGACGGGAGAGGAGAAGCAATGAGGTAGATTCTGAAAAATGAAATGGCGGGATGGGTTGAAGCGGTGTATGAAAGGATATCATTGATGCGGGGATGGATTCAAGCACTCCTGACCATGCACTCTCTCACCTCTGACAACGCACTCACCATCGGCTGATACTGCACTCACCATCGGTTGATACAGCACTCACCATCGGTTGATACAGCACTCACCATCGGTTGATACAGCATTCACCATCGGTTGATACAGCATTCACCATCGGTTGATACAGCATTCACCATCGGTTGATACAGCACTCACCATCGGTTGATACAGCACTCATCATCCGTTGATACAACACTCACCATCGGTTGATACAGCACTCATCATCCGTTGATACAGCACTCACCATCGGTTGATACAGCACTCATCATCTGTTGATACAGCACTCACCATCGGTTGATACAGCATTCACCATCGGTTGATACAGCACTCACCATCGGTTGATACAGCACTCACCATCGGTTGATACAGCACTCACCATCGGTTGATACAGCACTCACCATCGATAGACACATGAATCCACTCACCTCTGACCACGGGGTAGAGGCCTGGCAGCGAGTTGATGCCGCACACGCCATCCCCTCCCTGGATGTCCATGCGCATGTGGCCCCCATCGCCCCACTCAGGCCCCCATGAGTTGCGGATGATCCAAAAAGGCGGAGCCATGTGGGGGAAGCGCGAGTCCTTGCCCACCAGGCGGTACCCCACCAGCAGCACCACGTGGTTCAGGTTGTACGTGAAGCAATCGGGATCCTGGTACTTGTACAGCTGAGGGGAGGGACACATTGGCAAGGCAAGAAGTGATTAGCCGCCACCTGCTTCTGTTAGGGAGTCAGGTGTATGGAAAGGGAGGGTTGGGAACGACATTACCAGGCAATGATTGCAAACGCACCCACACTCCCCGTCTCACCCCATCGTAGCTCTTGAACGTGTCGGCGGAAGCCTCAATGTGCACCACCACTGGCTGCCGCTGCACGGCCAGCAGCAGCCCAAACCAGCCATAGAAGGATGTCGACTCAAAGCCCTTGATGGGGAACCCACCGGGAAGCTGCTGGGGGATGGAAGGACAGGTGTAAACGATGATTGACGCATGGGGTATGCACGATAATTGACGCATGGGGTATGGACACTGAGTGATGCATGGGGTATGGAGGCAGACCAGATCACACAGAGCTCTAGCATGTGAGCAGTGAGTGAGAAACAAACTAGAGCAGCACAGAAATCGACTGCTCGAATTGCAAGCAGGGTTCTTTGAGTGACCCAGATTGAGGTTATCTGATCACGATGTACCAAGATATCACAAGTCCCACCACCCCACTCACATGTGGATTAGCAGAACCATTCCCGCACGACACACCGAGCAGCTTTGCCAGTGGCTTCAGCAACGGAGAGCAAAGTGGACTGCTGCTGCCTGCCTTCACGGCCTTCTTGCCTTTCTCGGCCGGCCCCTGGCTCTCCAACACGAGCCCTCCTCCTTTTCGAGCCAGCTTGAGCAGCAGTTGGAAGGCCTGAGAGGGCGTGCTGCCAGAGCAGCCGACCTTCATGGCGGCCTTCAGCTGCTCCACTGACAGCACCGGCGCGGAAGAGGCGTTGGAGAGAATGCTGTATGCTGCCTCGACGCTGCCGACCACTGCGTACGCCCAGCAGTCGCCTGCCAAGCAATGCATTGTGAAGAGGGAAAACACATGGATGGCGTACACTTTTATCACAATGTAGCATGGTACCTCTCACTCGCTCCATGCTCCCGCTGCTCTGATTTTGCCTGTGCTCAGGCTCGCACCCACACTCTGCTCCTGGGTAATTGACAGCATGTGGATCTTCAAGGTGAAGCGGCTTCCTGAATTGCCGCCTATCTTCAACGCATGCTATGTGACGAGGAATTTTAGTCAGCAAGAGGGCTTAGACTTCTTTCAGACATTTTCTTTCACCCTGAAGATGACCACTCTTCGCGTGACAACGAGCTCTACTCACTGGACTCGCACTGTTTCCTGTATCATTCTTGAGACACGCCCGACCAGTTGTTCTACCACCCTTCCTCCCGCAGCTTCTTCAGCTCGCCTCTCGTGACGCCACCTTCGACGAGTCTTCTATGCTCGCTGTCTCCATAATGGTACCTCGGTTCCCCCCCTTGCCTTGTTCCTCATTGCATCTCCCCCACCTGGCCCACCCTTCCAGTAGCTCCACTCCCTTCCACGTCCTGCCCCGTCCGGTCGGTCGCACGTCAACCCGCAATCCTCCTCGGAATTCCGGCAACGATCGCAGCGGCCGCTCACTGTGGACACTGGAGGTGCTGGTTCGGTGGGCCACTATACCCCCCAGAGTTCGAGTCTCCTCCAACAGAACCCCCAAAGCTTATGCCTCCAACGTCAGCATCCGGCTCCTCCATTGTCTGTCTCGGCTCCTGTCGTTGCTCTCACTGACTTTGCCTCCGGCCACCGCTTCGACTACGCTGCTCAGTAAGACTCTGACACAACCCGTCCTCCGTAAGCCGGCGTTAAGTTTGGCCTTGACTGTGACGTCCTAGAGGATAGACAGTTTGAGCCAGCTTTCAGCCAAGATCGAACCAGCCGTTTTGGGCCGCCTAAAGTTTTAGTTGATTGAGCCTCTGAAATGGCCCAGATGGGATGTGGCGACATTGGGGCTGTGACCTTGACCAGCCCGACACGAGACGAACCAGATTGGTTCGAGGCAGACAGGCCCGGTTTCGATGCGTTCTCGTGCTTGCCTAGTGTGGCACAATACTGGGGTTCCAGGAGTACTCACCGCAAGTGGTTTGAGTCCTGACAGGCCACGTGAAGTTTGGACGGAACCATGAAGCTGCAGGGTGCACTCCATACACGTCATTGCCAGTCTGAGCAGCAACACTGCCCGAGCTGGCATAGCGGAAGAAGAGATTCATCCCTGATAGAGAGAGCGCCGCCTCACTGAAGGTAAAACCCAGCGATGCATCTGCGATCGAGGAGAGGGTACAGAGTGGGCATTAGGAGGATTGTGGAAGGAACAACTAATGCTGAGCGCCCAGAGCTGGTTTACAATAAAAATCTAATGCTTGCTGCAAAATGGAAAAAACTGCAACCCTGTTATGTCGTACCTGGAATTGGCTGGACAGGAAAATCTGCAGGAAGCGATACAAAAAAGGACCACACAAAGAGCTGAATTAGGGCTGTAGTCATTGCTCATCGCCTTCCATTCTCAACCCAAGGGAGAATTGAACGACAAAACAGCGACAACAGGTGACTGGATGGACACAGAGGTGCACTCCCAGGTGGAGAGGTGCACTCACAGGTGGAGAGGGTCCAGAAACAAAGGACAAGAAAGAAGGGAGCAACAATTTACACGAAGGACGCAGGGGTGCACTCACGCGTTGAGAGGGTCCAGGCGGAGACGACATGGCTTTGAGCCTGTGTGCCCGAGGCAGCAGTGAAGCCGATGGCAAAGGTGTACTCCGATGGGGAGGGGGCGAGCTCCTCACACAGGGAGATGCGTGCCGACAGGAGGGGGGTGGTGGGGCGAGGGGACGCCTGGGAGGAGAGGAAGACGCGCAGGGAGCCACTGGAGGAAGGGTCGTAGTCGATCCACACGTGCTTGGGCGTGCCGTCATTGAGAGGGGTGCTGGGCTTGGCTGTGACCACCGACGTGACACTGCCGCCAGTGTTGATGCCCACGTGGTTGCTGTCAGGGTCGCTGTTGCCCACATCCATCGACGTGTCAAACTCCACTGCCACGCTGCGCGCTCCCATCCCCGCATACCCCATGCCGCCCGCCACCAGTGTTGTGGGCGGGGTGGCATCAAAGGCCACCACAAAGGCAAAGCCTTCGGAGCCGGAGGCAGCAGGGCGGGTGAGAGTGAAGGAGAAGGAGGAGGAGAAGGCGAGCTGGCGGCCGCAGGTGTCCCCGATGAGCTGGTAGGAGAAGAGCGGCACGCGCGCTGCCAGGAACACACCTCCTTGTTTGGACGGCTGGGAAGGCGTGAGAGTGAGCGTGGCTGCACTCACTGAGGCGTCGCCAGTGGCTGTAAGCATGGCTCCTGTGGGCGTCAAATCCTGCTCTGTCTTACCACCTGGAGTGGGGCACACAGAGATGGAGCCACCAGGAGGTATCAGCTCCGTCAAGATAAAAGCAATACAGGTAGAGTGAAATCAAGATCTAAACAGTCACGGGAAACTCTAGTATTTAAAAGCAATATAGGTAGAGTGAAATCGAGACAGGGCATGGCATGGGAGGCTAAACAGACGCACGATTCTCAATATGTGAACGGCTCACCTGCCACAGGCACGCAGCTGCCGGTATATTCCCCAACCACGAAGTTATCGTCACAGAGGCATGTGGGCGTGTTGCTGGGGCCGTCCAAGAAGCACACGCCATGGCCGTTGCAGGCGGGCACAGGAGGGGAGGCGGTGCCGTTGACGCCGCAGAAGGCAGTGCAGACGGGGTCGGTCTTCTGAGTGCTGTCTGCACACGCAAGGTCCTCTGCTGGTGTGGCTGCACAGTTGCTGTGGTATGTGATGTAGCCTTGCCCGCACGGCGGGGGGGAGGAGAACCCCTCACTCAAGTAGTTGTTGTCCAGCTTGTACGTCGTAATTGATGCTGGCACGGGCTCAAGGACCTTCCCTGTGAGCAGATTGTTTCTCAGGTTGCTGCGGGTAGAGGTGGAATGATGGGGAATGGAAGGATGGGGAATGGAAGGATGGGGAATGGAAGGATGGGGAATGGAAGGATGGGGAATGGAGGGATGGGGAATGGAGGGATGGGGAATGGAGGGATGGGGAATGGAGGGATGGGGAATGGAAGGATGGGGAATGGAAGGATGGGGAATGGAGGGATGGGGAATGGAAGGATGGGGAATGGAAGGATGGGGAATGGAAGGATGGGGAATGGAAGGATGGGGAATGGAAGGATGGGGAATGGAGGGATGGGGAATGGAGGGATGGGGAATGGAGGGATGGGGAATGGAGGGATGGGGAATGGAAGGATGGGGAATGGAAGGATGGGGAATGGAGGGATGGGGAATGGAGGGATGGGGAATGGAAGGATGGGGAATGGAAGGATGGGGAATGGAGGGATGGGGAATGGAAGGATGGGGAATGGAAGGATGGGGAATGGAAGGATGGGGAATGGAAGGATGGGGAATGGAAGGATGGGGAATGGAAGGATGGGGAATGGAAGATGGGGAATGGAAGGATGGGGAATGGAAGGATGGGGAATGGAAGGATGGGGAATGGAAGGATGGGGAATGGAAGGATGGGGAATGGAAGATGGGGAATGGAAGGATGGGGAATGGAAGGATGGGGAATGGAAGGATGGGGAATGGAAGGATGGGGAATGGAAGGATGGGGAATGGAGGGATGGGGAATGGAGGGATGGGGAATGGAGGGATGGGGAATGGAGGGATGGGGAATGGAAGGATGGGGAATGGAAGGATGGGGAATGGAGGGATGGGGAATGGAAGGATGGGGAATGGAAGGATGGGGAATGGAAGGATGGGGAATGGAGGGATGGGGAGTGTAAACCAACACAGCAAGGAGCAAGCACTCCTATCCGCATAATTAAGGCCTGGAAAGCAATCATACTGTTGGAAGCATGACAGGACAACTGGGTTGGGGGCGTACGGGGGACTTACAGAGTTCGTAGGTTGCCAAGACTTGCAAGACCTTGCGGTATGGTGCCAGTCAGGCGGTTGGAGCTCAGGTCCCTGGATGTAACAACACGGAAGGGAAGTGGAGACAGGGGAAACGATCAGCGGAAAGCAGGAGTGGTATGCGGTATGAAGACATGGGGACGAAGTGATGGGGTTTGAGTTCAGGACGATGTGAGATCATAACGTCCTGCACTAGTGGTTCATGGTTCAGGCGCGTCTTGGCTCGGTTTTAGAGTCGACTCAAAGACAAGACTCATCACAAGAGGTCATGAGGTCCTACGCTATTGGTTCAGCTGTGTCTTGCCTTGGCTCGGCATGCTCGGCGTGCTCGGCTGGGTGACATGGCTACCCGAGCCTCATCGCGAGCTCGTGGCCGGCATGTCAAAAAGCGACCCGTGGCAGGGTAAATTGCCTGAGGTAGCTCGCCACGCGGAAGTCGCCGATTTTCCGGACCCTTACAACAATCTCTGTGGCCAACCTGAGGGGTGAAGGGCTAGAACGAGCGGAACCGCTCGAAGACAGCCAGGGTGGCTCGAAGCGAGCCCTCCCCGCTCCTCCCCTCCTCTCACCTCTCCCCTTCCTTCTCCCCCCTTCCCCTTCTCCTCCCCCACCCCGGCTCGACCTGTGAGCGAGCCAGCTTGGTTCGGATGAATGACGAACCAACTCAGGCTCGAGGCAAGCCGGGTTGGCTCGGGCCCTTGCTCGGGTCAGGGCTATAAGGCCTCGAGCAGGCAAGTGTGCAACAGACGCTTGGGCCCAGTTAATGGAGAGGGACAAGTGCCGATACAACAGATGAAGTGGGCACGCCAATGTGGAACAAAGCCCGTCACCACACTCATCTCCACAGAGAAGGCGAGGATGTGTTGCAACTAAACTCAAACTCAACGCACTGGGAGTGGGCTTTTGAGTCGACTCAAAAGTCAGCTTAATGTTGCAACTAAACTCAAACTCAACGCACTGGGAGTGGGCTTTTGAGTCGACTCAAAGGTCAGCTTAATGTGTTGCAACTAAACTCGAACTCAACGCACTGGGAGGGGGGTTGGAGTGCGGCAAGGGCAGGGTGCAGGGGAGGGGGGGCAACAACTAGGGATAATGAAAGCAAGCCTCACGTTGTGAGCCTCACAGCAGTGTGAGCCTCACAGCAGTGTGAGCCTCACAGCAGTGTGAGCCTCACAGCAGTGTGAGCCTCACAGCAGTGTGAGCCTTACAGCAGTGTGAGGTAGACCAAGCCTGTTATCTCGTCCGGTATCGTGCCAGACAGCTGGTTGTTGCTGATGTCCCTGGGAGAAGAGAAGAGACGAATGGCATGAAGAGACAGAGGCAGTTGAACAGCTGACCAACCGAATGAAGTACAGGCAAGGAGGCAGCAGAGGGTAATGAATGGGAAGTGACATAGCATGGGAGTGGGGAGTGGTGGGGAAGAAAGGGGCAAACGAGATGCAGAGAGGGATGCAGACAGTATGCATTCTTCGGTTTAGGGCGATGTGTGCATGGGCTGGTGTAGGCACGGCAGGAGCAGGCAGTTACGGCATCCCAGACGGCGCTACAGATAGACATGGCATGGGGATGCAGTGAGGCATGGCGATGCAGTGAGGCATGGCGATGCAGTGAGGCATGGCGATGCAGTGAGGCATGGCGATGCAGTGAGGCATGGCGATGCAGTGAGGCATGGCGATGCAGTGAGGCATGGCGATGCAGTGAAGCATGGCGATGCAGTGAGGCATGGTGATGCAGTGAGGCATGGCGATGCAGTGAGGCATGGCGATGCAGTGAGGCATGGCGATGCAGTGAGGCATGGCGATGCAGTGAGGCATGGCGATGCAGTGAGGCATGGCGATGCAGTGAGGCATGGCGATGCAGTGAGGCATGGCGATGCAGTGAGGCATGGCGATGCAGTGAGGCCGTCTACAGCCGGAGGCTGCCCTGTGCTAACAGACATGTGGTGTGGCGTACTGCGGCATAGACATGAGCACAACAGCAGCTTATTCGGTACTGGTTAAGCCTGGATGAGGCCACAATACACTCGAACCTCTGAGTCGAGCTGAGCAGGCTCCGCTGCCCAGCTGTGGCTCGTGGAAATCTTTTGAGTCGACTCAAAAGCTGAGCAGAGCTCTGCTGCCCAGCTCTGGCTCGTGGAAACGGGGCGAGGCTCGTGGAAACGGGGCGAGGCTCGTGATGAGCCGAACCGATGCTAGGTTCAAACCGATTCTGGTTCCACGTGGTATGGACCAAACTGGTTTTGGTTCATTCCTTGCTCATGCCCAAACCCATGCCCGACGTCTTCCTAAATGCTATTCACACACACACACACACTAGTTTATGCAAGGGGAAATACTAAACCTGGGCAAATGTTGTAGTGGGGCGGGAGGGGTCTGTAGAGCAAGGCTACCTGGCTGGCACGTTTGATGATTTGACGAGAGCGGACTACAAGAGAGAAGAGAACAAGCAGCACAATTCGGGCTGGTGCTTGTGGAGACGACTCGGCTCAGCTCGGAACGAGTTCACTTTCACCAGAAGAGCTTAGCTGCTGGCTCATGCTGCTGGCTCATGCTGCTGGCTCATGCTGCTGGCTCATGCTGCTGGTGATTCGATGCAGCATGCTCAGAGGTGTGGTGATCGTGGTGTGCTGTGTGGCACGTGCACTGACATAACAGGGCAGATGTAGCCCAGTAGAGGTTTCACATGAAAACACCCGTGCCTACCAGAAAGAGAAAGAAATCAGAAAGAAAGAAAGAAAGAAAGGAAGGAAGAACGGAAGAAACAAAGAAAGAAAGAAAGCAAGAAAGAGAGAGAGAGACAGAAAGAAAGAAAGAAGGAATGAAAGAAAAAAAAGAAAACGCGCACATCAAGTAAAGATTAGGTGCAGTCCAGTGATCAGGAAGGGAGCCACTGATTTTGTTGCGCGACAAGTCTCTGGGAAAGAAGGTGTGGCGAGAGAGGGGAAGAGAGGGGTGGGTGGGAGCGTAGAGGCAAATACATCAGAAAAGAAGCAAGTGTGAGTAAGCAAGAGATGCAGTTAGCAATGTGGATACAGGTACGGTAGGACGTGGGAGGCGAGGTAGATACGAAATTGTATGTGAAGAGAGAACCTAGGGATGGAGGGTTCTCAACACACAGCGAGCACATTGCATGGATGGATTGGACAAGAAGAGGTGCGTGGTGTGGTGTGGTGTGGTGTGGTGTGGTGTGGTGTGGTTCCATCAGATTTCACACCCCTTGGCCAAGCTGGGCAACACACAAGCACAGTATGCAGTTAAACGGTCCCACACACCATGTCCCATCCCATGCTCCCCATGTCCCATGCTCCACATCCCTCCTCATAACCACCAACACACGAACCCCAGTGCATGCCATGAGTCCACGCCCATGCTCCGTCCATCTGCCCCATGCCTCACAGCGTGCTTAGTGTGGTAAGAGTGCCCAGGTTGGCAGGGATGGTTCCACTCAAATCGTTGCTCCCCAGCTCACTGCCGTGCAAGGCAAGGGGTGCAGGGACAGGGGGAGAGGACAGGTGCAGAAGGCACGGGAGGAAGGAAGGGAAGGGCAGGAGGGGAGATGGAGGGATGGATGGAAGTGTCAAATGGGGAGGAAGAGCAGGGGCGGTTGAGAAGACTTTTGGGTCGACTCAAAAGTCAAGAGCAGGGACGGTTGAGAAGGAACAGCAGGCGGGAGATGGAGATGGTTGTTTATGCACTCGCGAGGGCGCACGTGCAGCAGAGGGAGAGAGTAATGCAGTGCCTTCCCTCGTCTAATCTGCCGCATAATCCAAGACAAGGCCCACACGCCGCCCATACGCAAGACATTTGGCAATAGGCGTTGGTGAATGCCCAAGGCTAGGCTGTGTGGAGCAAGGCATGACATTAGGCATGACCATCCATGGGTAGGTCCAGGGGCGATCTAAAAAACGGCCCTGCTTCCGCTTGGGACAAATCGGTTCGCCACGAATTGAACCACGGTTTGCCTACCTCCCATGCGTGTTCCTATTCTTAACCACCACAGGGTAACACGCGTGTGGTATTCTTGACCAATAATTCTCCTATTCAACCACCACAAGGTAACACCTCCAAAGCACCACCAACCTGCGGATTTCATACTTCTTCCGAGCCGACAACACAACACCGCCAACTCAACTGAACTAAAACGGCGCCTGGCCTGTCCGTGCCTCAAGACCTCCCAGTTGGGACCAGGTCAACCCCTAACCTGGCCCTACGCTACACTCCTGTCAGGTCTATGGCTCCAGCTCACCAATGGCTGAGTGACATGGGGGCCAAGCGATGCGAGAGTAGAGTTGAGCAGGTGCCCCGCTCGGGTCGGGCCAACCCGACCCGACCCGTGGTTTTGCCCGGGTCGGGTCAAGGTTTCTGAATCTCTGCCCCGTACGGGCCAACCCGACCCGACCCGGGGTCAGACCCGACCCGAGGGCCCATTTCGGGCCGGGCCGAGCCGGGTTTCGGGTCGGGCCTGCCCCGACCCGATTTCAGGTCTAAAATGTCGAAATCGGGTCGGGCCAGGTGCGCGACCCGATTTCGACAGGGCTAGGGCCGAAACCCTAGCCCAAATGTAAATCGATCGAGGGGATTTTTTCCCCGTCGATTTACATTCGCCACCCCAGCAGCTAGTGGCCTTAGGGTATTAAGTACCTTCCTTTAAACTATCTCCTATCTTAGGCTTTCCCGCCCAAATGCACATACTTTCAGTTACATTCGTAGACATACGTTTCTGGCTGCACTTAGTGCATTTTGCGCAGGTCAATTTCGTAGTTTTTAGGGTACCTAGATTCAAGCGCAACCTCTAATTTCCTTCGACCCCACTACATCCGTGGCGTTTCCGCTGTAGTGGACGCATTTACCGGCAACCGCTGCACGATTTTACATAGGTTCGCGTCGGCCGCTTGCACGGTGACGGGGAATCCGCGAGCACACGTGTCGTTGCACATTGTGATGAATACCCCCAGCCTCCTCTAAGGGGGCGGGTCTGCCTGGCCCGACCCGGCCCGACCCGACACCCGGTCCCCTTTGACCCGAGTCAGTAGGCCCGGGTCGGGCCAACTGTTTCAAGATTCTGGCCCGAGGTCGGCCCGACCCGACCCGACCCGAGGGCCCGTGTGGCCCGGCCAAATCGGGTCGGGTCGGGCCGGGTCGGGCCACATGCTCAACTCTACGAGAGGCTCACATGAAACGGAGATTAGTTATGTCTGTTAGAGTTGAGGGCAGGGAACCCGATATGAGGTTGTTGCCGGCACGCCTGGGGTGATGTGATATGATGTGATGTGATGTGATGTGATGTGGTGATGGGATGCGATGTGATGTGACGAGGCAGCAACACAGAAGCAATGCTGGGTCTTGAAACGGAGAACACATCGCAAAAGTATAATGGTGGTGCATTTTCTGGCTGGATCAGGATGCGGTGCATAGGAGGAACAAACGGGATGAATGACAGCCACATGCCTCCCCAGAGACTACCCAGGCGAACAGGAGATCAAAACAAGCAAGGCCACAGAGGGTCACAGCGCACGTGTGGAGGGGAAGACCAGAGATGGAGAGGAGGAGGCACAGACAGAGTGAGGCCATGAGAAGAGGAACTCACAAAGCGATTAGTTTGGAGGCACTCCCCAGATTGTCTGGTAGAGGACCCGTAATGCGGTTGTATTGAAGCTCGCTGATAGAGGGGTGAGGTGAGGTGCGGTGAGGGTTTCAGAAAGGAAGCAGGTTGTTTCAGATGTGACCAGCCTTGCATGAGCGTCGTGTCGTGGTGGAAACGAAAGCCATGGGATCCAGGCAGCAACGCATTGACAGACACGAGAGCTTTGACTCGCCTCGACTGGCTGAACTCGAGCGCAGCTCAAAGACAAGCTCGGGTCAAGCCTGCTTCACGAGCAATGCGCTTTGGGTCCAGGAGCGGGTCGAGGAGCGGGTGGAGGAGCGGGTGGAGGAGAGGGTCGAGGAGCAGTGGCTAGACATGAGGAGCGGGTCGAGGAGCAGTGGCTAGACATGAGGAGCGGGCCGAGGAGCAGTGGCTAGACATGAGGAGCGGGTCGAGGAGCAGTGGCTAGACATGAGGAGCGGGTCGAGGAGCAGTGGCTAGACATGAGGAGCGGGTCGAGGAGCAGTGGCTAGACATGAGGAGCGGGTCGAGGAGCAGTGGCTAGACATGAGCAGCGGGTCGAGGAGCAGTGGCTAGACATGAGCAGCGGGTCGAGGAGCAGTGGCTAGACATGAGGAGCGGGTCGAGGAGCAGTGGCTAGACATGAGGAGCGGGTCGAGGAGCAGTGGCTAGACATGAGGAGCGGGTCGAGGAGCAGTGGCTAGACATGAGGAGCGGGTCGAGGAGCAGTGGCTAGACATGAGCATAGCATAGTACCGACACGACACACCTTCCCCGCTCGTTTCACGGCGTGAGCGAGCCGAACTTGACCGGGGCGGGCCAGGGCCAAATCGCCATGGGCAGGCAGAGCAGAGCAAGCCGAAACAGAGCCACGTCTGACCGTCTGAGCTGTGACAAACAGGACTGTTGCGGACTGTACCGGGGAACAATCATTGGCTCATCAGTATCTGCTATGTTCTCTTGTTTTACACCCCGGATCCTTTTACATAGTAAGGAAAAAAGAGTGTTATTCACAAAACACGTATACTTCCTCCGCCGTATCTACCGCACTCATACGGCACACAAGACACATTCACAGCAAAAACAACAGAGTGCTAAAATAGGGCGCTGGCCCCGGAGCAAGCCGTCAGCACAGCAGCACTCAGGACCAAGGTTGAGAGCGAGCCTACGACGAGCCATGCGAATGTGTCGCACTCGTACCAATGTCCAAATAGTTCATGCCAGTTGATTTTAAGACCGTGGGAATGGATGATGGTCGGAGTGTGAATGCTCCTGTATGGAGCAAGCATGAGATGCGGCGTTCTTTGTTGCGGCTGCCTTACATTAGGGTTAGCGCAGTCAGTTGGGTGAAGGATGATGGGATCGGCCCTTCCAATTGGTTGTCGTAGAGATACCTGTGTGAAGGAGAGGAGACAACGTGCGATGGAAAGGAGATGTGTTATTATGAATGAGGGAGGTGGAGTCGTTACAAGAGAGCTGCGGAGGACGTTGTGGTTGGAGGGGGAGGGAGGCACGTGCACGTGCTGCAACATGTTGCACTTGAAAGACTGACGACTTCTGCACACTGCACGTGTTGTTTGAGACATGATATGAGTACGCTTTTGAGCATACAGACAGACAGTACGGCGAGGCCCAGGGATACAAATGATAGAGTGAGTTTAAGGGACGAGGACATTGCAGGGGGAGGGGGAGAGCGAGGCATTCAGAAGGCGTGCAAGGACTGCAAGGGGTGGCTTACAGCTGATACAGGTTAGTGAGAGCGCCGATGCCATCAGGCAGGGGCCCACTGATCTGGTTGGAGTGGGCGTCGCTGCGTTGTGGGAGGGGCAAGGTATGCAAGGGGATGCAAGAAGATTTGCAGCAATGCTCCATGAGAACGGGCTGGGCCACAGCTAGCTAGTGACGAGCTGGGAGTGCCGAGACACATGGCCGGCTTGTCGCAAGCCAAAGGCTTTCAGTTTGAATTGCGGCCCGTGATGACGTGACCTGCCGCGAGTCTGTAGGCTCACAGAAACATGTGATGTGACAATAGCCGGAGACATCTCTTTGCCGACTCAATACGGAGCTGCGTGCGTGCGTGTGTGTGTGTGTGTGTGTGTGTGTGTGTGTGTGTGTGTGTTGCAGCAACACGGCCATACTAGCAGTTGGTTGACGGAAGGGGCATCTCAACTCACAATTCCCTTAGAGAAACGAGCTTGGAGAAGCTCGATGGGAGTGGGCCCGATAGAGAGTTGTAGTCTATATAGCTGCATGGGAAGGATTAAAAGGGAGGGGAGAGAGCAAGGGCGAAAAGGGAGAGAGTGAACGCAGGGATGGGGAGGTGTTTTGATTTCCTATCCTAGCTTCTTAAAGTTGTTCAGCTTTTGGAAGTCCTTGAGATGGGGCGATTTTAGGGCGATTCAAGCTGCACCAAGGCAAAGACGACATGGGCAATCGAAGTGCCCTCACTCGAATTGCCAACTCGACTCCAATTTCTGGTCGGGCAACTCTCTCTCTTGATCCATGAAAGATTGACTGTCATCAAGTCCTATAGCTGATTCACTTGAGTCAGGAGAGCTATGGGCACGGAGAGTAGAGAGTAATACCTGCCATGTTTGGCTTGCCTCATTTGAGTAGCAAGACTAGTGATTCTTTCAATGGGATGCCATCGCACGTCACTCGCCTTCTTAGGTGAGCATTTCTTGACTTTTTTATGTGCGATAAGTCTGTTTGCTCGAGACGAGCATGCCCAGCTTGCATGCAAAGCCTGACTCGTGAGCCTTGACTTCTTGATGTGCAACAAGCACTTGTTCCCTCACCAGCAGGCTAGAAGTACTCGCCTTACTAGCATCACCCGAGCCCTCCCCCTCCTTCCCTCGCCCCTGTGTGACCAGAAATACATTCAGCGCCTTGTACACTAACATTCAAACTATAAACGTTCGGTAGTATGTAGGGCAATCACGCTTCTTACAAGACACCTCTATCAGTATGCTGTCAACAATCTTCATACGACCATCACCCCCCCTTCCCATTATCAACCCACTCCACTCATACCATTGGCACCCCTCCTTCATACATACCATCACCACCGCCCAGCAAGAATACAAATACCCACTTTCAGTCACCCACCTCACCACAACCCTACACCTACAGACTCTACGCCCTTGCTACAAGCATCCAGAGACATGAGCACGAGTTGCGTCGACTCGTGCTTGCCTCGAGCCGGACCCAGTTCGACTCACTGCTGCCATACCGCAGCACAGTGCTAACCCATGCCCACCTCCACATATCTACATGCACCATAACCGCACGCATACAGCTTGGGGCTTTTGAGTCGACTAAAAAATGACTCACTGCGGCCATGCCGCAGCACAGAGCTAACCCATCTCCCCACCCCATCTCTACCAGAACCGCACGCATACAGCTTGGGGGCTCGAAAGGTAGATTGAGCGGGCTGGCTCGAGACAAGTCTGCCTGCTCCAGACGAGCATACCCAGGTTGCATACACAGCCTGACTCATGAGCGTGGCGGCTTTAGACAGATGACGTCTAAACAGCTTGACAGTATAG